AAACGCTGTTCATGACAAAACCAAAGCAGGGGGAAATACGAGATGACAGTTGGCAGGACAGGCTCTGTTGTTATGTTAAAGGATGCAAAACAGCTCTCATCCTACACAGAAAGAGTTCACAAATTTTGAAGGCGTATGTTCCCCAGCCTGTTTCCGTAGCTGATTTTCCAGCCTTGGAGAGAGGGAGAACACCTTTCTAGCAGAAACTCCTTGCCACATTCGCAGGCCTCCACTTCTAATCTTTCAGTCAACTCCTTCCCCCTTATCAAACAGTAACGCTGAAATAAATTGCTTCACTAGTAACAGGAAAAATACATAATACAAGGCAGAGGCTTGGCTTACAAGAACAGAACATTATGATTACACAGAAGGAACCATATAAGCTGTTATTAACTGTAAGGGTCATAAAACTGCATGAATATCTCAATTATGCCACCTCTCCAGATTATGTAATAAAAAAGGATAACGTCAATTAACAGCTTCATTTTAACTTGGCAGGGCTGAATAGCGCTCTTCTTTTTTAAAAGCTTTTTGTAAATATCACATTGCCTCCTAATGCTTGACTTGCAAGCACTCTAAAAATATCGTGTAAAAAATTAAAATTAAACTTTCCCATTTACCCACCGCTATTGCCCATCACTTCCACATATCAAAAAGACTTACTTTACCAGAAATCACCTCACACAAGCATCATCTCCTGATGACAAGAGATATAATGTTATTTCTAAACCATTTCTAAAGACTGAATGCAGACGTTTATTGCATCCTTTTAACTTTTTGATTAATTCATTGCAATATTTGTTTCTGGGACAGTATGAAAATGTTGAAATCCCATCTTTAATAAAGAAACAGTACAAAGAATGAACTTCCTTTCCTATTATGTCATTAAAAAAACCCAAACTGTTATTGTCAGTCACACAGTGAATAGACACGCAATTATTGCAACTATTTACTGAAAACATACTTGCTAATTCTGTAACTGTCAGTGACATACGGTGCTGGGTGCTAGCTGGTGCCAAGGGAGCTGCCAAAAGCTCCAAGTCCAAAAAGGGGAAAGAAGAGGATTAAAGTATTATTGCTGTTTCCAAGAATAAAGTACTGTAAATGTGCTAGGCACTCACTAGGTAATAATCATCTGGTGTTTATATGGTAAATTTCTGCAAAGTGAATTACTGTTGGCATCACCAGAGTTTACAAAGCAAAAGTACTTGCCAAAATGCAGCTTCGCTAGAGGTATTGTTCAAGCAAACATGGAATGGAAAGTCATCAAGGGAAATGAACAACAGCTAATTTCACCGCGATCATATCAGGAACATTGAGTATTTTTGTTTAAACTTCAGAATCTGAGGTACAAAAGAGCACATAGTGATAATAGGAAACTTAACAGCATGTAGAACAAAATCCTGGCTATAGTTCATGTAGGAATGGAGTTACTTTTGCCAACTGAAAAAGAATAACATGTCTCCAGTGCACAGCATTTCACTAATACCGCGAAAGAAATGTCTTACTCCAGATATACATGAATCCACAAGCACTTAGTGCTCAAAGCCACCCTTCTCTATTTTTTCCCTTTAGCAGATAAAATAATGATAGAGTATAAAATGCAATTCCAGTCTTCTGCATTAAAACAGGCTAATATTTGATACTCTTTCTGAAATCCCTCTGCCCAGGAAACCACTTCTGTAGCTAGGATGGGATATGCCAACCCACATCTGCACAATAAGTAAGAGGAGATATTCAGCATTTCCAAGGAAGTTCCCAATGCTACTTCATCACGTGAAAAGGCGAGTCTCTCCCCAGTTACATCTATTTCATAAATATTATAGTCTAGCATACAGAAAAAAGTTCATAGGTTCGCTGTTCATCCGGTCACAGATGCTCATGAGATATTTTGTAACCAGGGCGCTCTCTATGCCAAACACAGCCTACAGCAATCAGGGAATTTGTTTTTTCCCTGGGTCAGCAAATATGTCACGTCAATCTAGGATATCTTTGCACGTAACTTCTGAAATACTACCAACATTGCCAATGGTAAACTTGACTGAAAAATTAAAAATAGATTTTGAAAAATTTCTATTCTGCAAATCTCAAAATGAAAGAAATCTGACGGTTTCTCTTCCTTCTTTTTTCAAAAAAAAGTACAATGCTAATGTCCAAGATTGTTCCTTTTATTTCCATTTTATCCTCACTTCTCTTTTTGCTCCTAAGCTTCTGAAAAATGGCCAAAGATTAAAAATGCAATTCTTGTACTATAGCATTCTTCAGAACTTCCTCAATTTTTTAAATGTGAGCAGCAATAAAAACCCTTGAAAATACTGAAAATTCATTCTAATAATTTAAGAGGATTTTAAAATAAAGTGCTAGACACCATTCAACACACTGCACTTTGCTGATAAAAAGAAAAAAGGCAAACTAATGACAGAAGCTCAACATGTAGAGCATCTAGAACAATACCAGAATGCCGTATGTTTGAAAAACAAACAAACAAAGGAGGAAGATTGAGGGAGGTAGTGCTAGTGGGTAAATTTAATGAAAAATATCCCCCCAAATTTAATTAGCTCTAAGCACAGCAGAACAAGAGTACTGAAGCAATTGATGTCAGATCATAGGCCTATGAATGTTTCATTTTAATGCGAGTTTTTACTTTGCCCAGGATTGAAAGATGGAAGAAAAAAAGGTCCAGCTACGAAAAACACATACTTACTTATGTGTTAAGCAAATTTCTGCCTTGCTACTTACCTAACACGACTTTTAAAACTAACTGGTGACTTAATTCAGCAACAAAATTTGCTTTCACTAACCTTTTAATTTTGATTGTCTATGATACAGATAAGAGTCTCTTTTTGGAAACATTTTCTGGAATTAAAAATACAGTACTTAACAACTTTAAAATACAGTACTTAATGACTTTAAAACGTATAGTTTTTAAGTCAGCATGAACATGTTTTTTGTGTAAAAAACACTATTCAAGTAGAGAATTTTCCTAATTTAAATTCTAATTTACATTCAGATTTCAATTAAATTTGCATCTGGTTGAGCTGCTGCTGAAGACAGAGAATGTACTACAATAGTCTACATGACTGTATATTGTATCATTGTATTGTACTATTGTATCAGAAAAATCAATAAACTAACAAACGCATGCGCATTTACAGTAGCATGCATTACTGAGTGGCCTCAAGTATTGCACTTAGGGAAAAAAAGAGTAACGAAACAAGATATACACACCAAGTACACAATGACTGATAGCTATAAAAAAATAGAAAAAGTTTACTTGAGAACATCTTTATTTTACTTAAAAAGTCACTTCACTTTTGCATATGACATCCATTTACATGTAAGACGGTTTTGCATCCCACTACCTTCAGGATTTGAAGTGAAAGCCAATCTGTCTCCACGAAATGTCTAAGCTACCATTTATGATTTTGAAAGGCTGAGATAGCTGGGACCAGTGTGTCTGAAGGACAGAGGAGGTGACTAGCAGGGCATTCTCTGGGAGTTTCAGGGTTCCAGAACTTGCTGCTTTTTCCTTGCTTGGCCTTAAACAGCTCAGGTTGCACAACATGGATATGTTTCACAACTCCCTTTTACAGAGTTTTAGGTAGAAATGTGAATCTATTTACCAGATTTATGAAAATATTAAAAGGAACTTTCTTCCACAGAAATAATTACTGCTTGTGAGATTTTTTTTTAGGCAGATCTTTATTTATTTTGAACCAAAACAGTGTATACAAATATATTATAAACTTTGATTGCAACAATAGGCATTTAATCACCTGCCATAACTGCTGAATACTAAGGAACTGGCGAGGGTGATCAAAAAGGCATTACAAAGGAATAAACTACTAAAACATACTAACTTTCACCTAAAATCTCAAATCCCTTAAACATCCATAGCATATCACAGATATGGAGACTATCTGCTTGCATAAACTCATTTTAGGCATCACTCAATCTCTGTTTGGTGACACTGTAAGAGGCAGACCTTAGTTCCCTCATATCCTAGCCCTCTGCTTTCAGGCTTGTCAAGCCAAGGTTTCTATTACCAGCCTGCTTCCACTCCTTCCACATCTTAGTATTTTCCAAAGGACTTTCACTGAGAGCAAGAAACCCAGTCTGCTTTTGCAGACATTCAACAAGCCTTATTTTCAATCCTCGTCTGACAATGTTGTGTTTCTCCCAGGAACGTGAGATAGGTTATGCATAAAGTTCAAGAAGGGAAACAACACAGAACTGTGATTACACCTCAGAATGCTATAACTGGCTCCCTGAACTTACATGAAATAATATTTGGGCCTCTCAGGCTGACTGGACACATCAGAGGGCAACAGATTGTCCTGCAGTGATTATCATTCACTAGCAAAGATACTAGCTTCTAATAGATCCCCCTAGTCAGTCCTCAACCACAGAATGATATTGTGCAGGACACGTCAATCAGATATAAGGTGAGAGTCAGGACCTTATTACTGAGTATGTTTTCCAATAACATTTTATGTTAGATTTCATACAGTACATCACCAAATACTTCAAATTAAAGAATTTAGCTCATCTGTACCATAACGTATCTCAAAGGGAGTAATTAGATAAGACATACTTCTTCCCCTGCTTCCTCTTGTTATGCTCGTCATCTCTCAAGGTAGTAACACTGATTGTAATAGTCCAGAGTTACTCCTAAACTCAAAGTTCCCATGATTTTCCTGGTTTCTATAAGTACCTTTTTAAAACTGGATCATGAAAATCACACTGTGAGAACTCTGAATTTGTTAATGAACAATACCCTTCAATTTATTTACAGCCAAAGAAGTGTTCTCAGTATTTCCTTCTTTATTAACTGCTCGGTAATCAGTCAGCACACCAACTATTTCTCTGGAGATCCAGTATGCAAAGGGAACAGAGTAAAACCTTGATCAGAGACTACAAGAAAATCATCTCAACAGTGAGCCTCAGAGACTTTACACTTGTTTCTAGTGGGGATGGAGAGAAAACTAAGGAGCACTTACCCTGCTGACTTCTTTAGGAGTCGATTCATCTATGAGGAAACAAAACAAACAATTAGGCACTCCAGAAAGCTTCTAAACTGAATGAAGAACAAGATACTGTACTTCAAACAACTTCTGCGCTGTTGTACAAAACTTTTCTAACACAGTTCAGTAAAGTAATTGAAATATCCAACTAGAGGCAGTTTACAATTAAGATAAAGTAGTCAAGAAGTTTGTCCTGTATTAAAAACAATACAGTATTTCTTGCATTTCCTAACTCAGTTCACAGGTTGACTAAACCAGTAAGCCCCATACCATGCTTATGTATTTATATTCCAGTTTCGTAAGAAAATTGTTAGAATTTCACACTTTGAGAAGTAAAGGCCCTTCCAAAGACATGCCACCAACTTCCTACATACACAAGCAAGATACTGGACTTTGACTTTCCTTTCTGAAGATCAAAGATGCTATTCCTGTTGACTTCTTCAGAAGTGCAAAAAAGCCCTTGTGACCCTTAGACTATAAAAACATTGCTGATATCATCTGGTACAGCACAGTAAAAACACAAAAATTACAGGGGTATATATATCCTAGTATGTTTTGTCCTTTTAAATGCACATATATTTTCATGCATTTTTTTCTAGTTTTAAGTATGTAATACATAGCACAAGCTAAAACATTGTGTGGAATTTCTGAAAATAAATAAAATAAAAAGTATCTGAATGCCACAGATGAAGCTTTCACTTCAGAGATTATGACCTGATGGTGAGAAAAGAAAAACATTTCAAGGAAGGAAGAAGAAAAGCAAAAGAGAGGAAACAGGGAAAAGCAGCATGAAATATTCCATTAATACATTTAGAAGTAAACCCAATTTCTATACAATGAAATGGCAAATCATTTGCCACATTAAAAAAAAAAAAAGCCTCAAGGCCCAAGGGATTTATTTGTTTATTTATTTTATTAACAGGAGTAAAGCAAGAAATGTGACCCCATGAACCTGCAATATCTGGACTTGCTTTCCTCAAGTTGCAGGATGTAAGGCCCAGGGACATGCAGGGACAGGACCCATCTACAGTAAGTGCTGATACCAGGCTGCTGTGTTTGTATCTCCACTGTACAACGACTATATACCACAGTGTGCAACACTTCTTTATGGTTAGTTTCTGTGACCTGACTACAAAGGGAAATGATTGGAACAATAACTTCTCCTCGAATTAAATCTGTCAAAATGTGGATTTCGTTAATATATGAAAGTAACATGGCTGAAGGGGGCTGAAGAAAAATACTCTAGATTTGCATACTTCTATTTAAAATGCCATAAATTCTGTTTAAAAGGTATAAAAGCACCAATCTCTTGTTTGTAAATCAAGTTCCATTCCTGCAAGAGCGGAAGCTTTCAAAGTAACACATTATCTATTAAAATACACTCAGAGACATTTACCTTAAGGATATTCACTAAGGAGCAGCTTGCTATGGAGTTAAATCTTGCAGAAAAATTCTACACTTGAATATAAAGGTCCCCATTTATTACAAAAATTGTGTGAACAATATCCAGACAAAGCAAAAAGATCTTACTAGTGTCTGTACTGAGGGAAAAAACACCCTGGGAGAAAGTAAGCAATCGTGCAAGAGACCATACAAATGCTCCAGCCACTAGAAATTTTTCAATTGAAGTTCACTTTTCTCAGGCATCAAATTCAGTCTACCTTGATACACAAGTAAGTGCCCTCCTCTCCCTCACATTTGTCAACAGTATTGCAGTTCGCAGAATTTAAGAGGATCGTGTTACTTTTTTGTGATACTTGACATCATTATTAACACTAAGAGTTGTATAAGAAATCTAGCGTATTTAGTTCTTGCGCTCTGAACCTCTGACCATGCCAAGATTTAAACAGTTTTAACAATAAATTGATGACCTCTTGAAAAGAAACACACACACACACACAGCTTTGTTTTGTTATTTGAGCAGTTTAGCCAGCTAATCATTCCTATTACAACCTAAAGTGTGTGTAAATAGTAACTACCAGAAAACAATGCCAGCTCTCAAAAGGCTTCCTCATTATCTTGGCCATACGGCTCAGCTGAGGCAGCCCCTTACGTTGCAAGCTGGATTTTTAACACTGATTCACCATGTGGCTTAATGCACATGTGAGTCACTGAGCAGCTGGGTGATGGGCGCTGCTCAGAAGAGCACACAACCAGAGCAAGAGGTAGGCTCATCATCTGGAAATGCTCGGCAGGTGTCAGTCATCTAGCAGAACGCTCTGGTTTGGTTGGTATTACGAACTGTATTATCTTTATGTCTTCTTAATTTGAGCATAAAAACTCACAACTGGAAAGACAGGAAACTGGGAGGGGAACAGAACTAAATTTAGAAGGTACTTAGCAGTTTCATGATACAGCAAAGCCAGTATGATGGCTAACAGCCTCCAAAATGGGAAGTCCAGCTCCTCTTTCCCCTTTTCTCTACCCCAAGTATGCAGACCTAAATTCTGTGCCAGCACTGCTGTTCATCTAGCCCCAAAACAAGCTGGCTCAGTTCACTGAATTTGTAGAAAATAAATACTTTCCCAGATTTAAGAACCATGCAACTACGCTACACCCACAAAAACAAGTTACACTTTCTTTATCTCCACACCTTAGTAAACATTCCTATTCAAAAAGCTCTCCAGGTATTAGTGACATCAGGAGGAGTGCGTGGAAGAAAAAAGAGTTCTATGACAAGATTTGCGTGTTAAGACCAAGCTCACAGCTTAACAGACTCGAATACCTCAGCTTTACCACATGTACAATTACAATTGACATCTGCACAGCACACTACATATATGCATAGTATTTGGTAGGGTAATTAAAGATAACGTCCTGCCAGGAAAGCCTCCAAACTAAACTGAAAAAAGTAAGATAGGAAGAAGCAGCAAACAGGGAAAGAAAAGAGAGGGAAAACTCCCCAGAAGTCTGGCATTTGGCACAACACACAAGGCTAGAATTCAGGGGCTTGGGGAAAACTGTGTAACAGTTCACACAATGGAGAAAAGTTCAACTTTTGATTTAGCACATACAAAATCTCATCTTATACATGTATTTCTACAAAAAACAAACGTATTTTATAAAGGTGAGTTATTTTCATTTTTGACATTTGCAAGGTGCTAAGCCATGGTAGTCACAAAGAAGACTTTAACGTAAAGCAGGCTTTCAACATCTCAGGTATGATATTCTAAGGCATTTATTAAGGAAATAATAATTTGAATGCCTAGTTAGTTATAACACAAGAACTCTTCCAGAAGAACAGTACTGTACGTTCTCCCAAGTCTTATGCACTCGCTGTTCTATGCGGTTAAATACTAGCGCTTGTCCACCATTGTTGATGATGACAACAAACTACTTAACATTAATTCTGTTCAGGAGAACTCAAACAGCTATACAGTCACATTTTCCCAAGGAATGGTTTCCCACACAACAGATGTCAGACTGACCTAATAATTATTTTGTGTAAAATTTCCTTTAGGTTCCTTTTCCTTCGGTTAATAAGACACAATTTGTTTTGAATGCAATTAAACCATCACAAAAATCTTAGCTACTTTTTTCCATGAGAAGCATCATACACCCACATGCCAATGGAAATTCCACATTAGTCTTTATCTAATCACTGTATTTATCAATCTGCAACTACCAGTTTATCTCTTTTTTTTAAATAGAAGGGCATCAATCAATTGGATTAGTTGGTCAATCTGTTCTAATTGCAATTTGCATCCTTATTTAGCCACTTTGAATCTGGCATCTGATACCGCCACTGAACTCAAGATATTTACAACACAACTGCGATGAAGGTGACTGAATTACCTGAAGTGACAACCATCACACACACAACAGAAATGCTATAACCATCATCTAAAAATGTTCTTGCCTTTTAACTCACCATCTCATCTAGAGCACCTGAACAACTCTCCAGACTTTCAACTTTTTGGGTTTATGTGATAATTCAGAAGCATGTGTGATGTACCTTCATAGGCAAACTAACTTAGTTCATTTAGACATAGACTAAGACACAGAAAGAGAATATTCACGAATATTGATCCCTGACAGCACAGTAAGGGCTTTCCTTAAACTACGATGAAACATGAATTCTGTCTTTCTGACATCAGCAGTAAGATCAAAATGTTTAAAAATTGCTGGAAAACGGCCCAAAAGGATACTCAGCTTCTCCTTTTTTTAAAGAGTAAAGTAACATGCCTCAGAAAATAAAAAGCTGTGAACCAGGACTTTGCTGCAGATGGTAGGCAGAGAAAGCTATTATCTATGAGGTGTCCTAGAATATTTATACACCCTTTTGCACGTAAGCAAATAGTGTACTGCACAAAGTAGGAGCTAGAACACAGTACATCTGACTTCATTAGACACAACAAAATGTTTGGAAGCTCACTGTTTTCCGCGACTTTAGCCCTCACGGAACTGATGAATCACGAGGAACAATTTTGCAGGACAACCTATTCTGGCCAGCAATTTCCAAAGAGGCTGTCTTCCGAATGTATCACAAGCCCTTTTGAGAACAGAAAGGCAGAGGGAAGATTCCGATTTCACTCTTGCTTCTGGAGTTGCTTGGCAGTAGAATACATACTGATAGAAGCTCTGCATTTTCTATGTCCACTGGCAAAAAATTCTCAGCCGTGTATCCGATGTGACAATTTAAGCTAATCTAAGCACAGAATTTCTGCAAAATGAAGAGTAGGAAAATTGCTTTATAGTTACCACAGATTTAGCTTTCCCATTGTATTTAAATAATTGGATTATGGCTGTACCTCTGAACTTGTGAGCTGATTTCTTCTCCACGTTACCTAAAATAGTTTCATAAAATTTTGTAAAAATCCCTCAAGTTGAATGCACCTGAGCAAAAATCATGCTGAAACCTGGTGTGTGATCCCCAGAAATTTAATTGTTTCCAGCAGGGAACGTTCTTCACCAGGAGAGTCCACGATAGGGTTTTACGATAATTAGCCTATGACTTCAGATCTTACTCAATATGACTGTTGAATGAAGAGATTGTTGAATAGAT